ATTTTTTTTTAGATTATTATATTTTAAATTAATTTTAATAATTCACAAAAAAAATTTTGTGGTGCTGACACGTGGCACTTTTTCTTCTCCTATTATATATAGATAGATTTTTAAAATGTTTTAAAATTTTGTGTATCAATAAAAAATGGTTTTGCAGTTACATTTCCCTTATTTTAAAAATTATTTTAAAATTATATAGTTTTAATTCATTTTAGATATTTAAAAAATACGCTTTTTGTGGTACTGACATGTAGGCGCTATCACCTCTCATTTTTTACTACAAATCACAATAGCTAACAATTTAAAATATTTTTAAAATCATATAAAATTTTCAATAACTTCTCAAATTTCATAATATAACATAAATTAAAATAAAAATATATATATTGGGCCCCGTGCTGGCACGGGGTCCTATATCTAGTATAGATAGATTCAAACATGAAAACGGTAGTGAGTTTGAATTGTATAAGGAATAAACAAATTCAATTTATTATTGTTTTTCAAAAAGGAGAATAAATCAACCGTTTGTAACGTACATGATTTAAAAACTGTTTTAAAATTTTATTTAGTTTTTAAATTGTTGTTTATTATTTAATATATATAGAAATTAAACTATTATTTATTATTTAATATAATTAGAATTTTTGTGGTGTCGACATGTGGCACTATTTCCTCTCCTATTATATATAGATAGATAATGGAGATACTTTTTAAAAAATAAATAAATATTAGTAGTACAAATTGTTAAATATTTTTTATAAAATTTTTTATCATAATTCTATTATTACTGAGGAATGGGACACACACCAACATGGGCTGTGGTGCAGTGGTGTGACTGTTTCACCCTTAACTAGAGGACTCGGGTTCGAGCCCTGGGTATGAAAAAAAATCTTTTTGGGTGTGATCTGGATTTAGTCGGAGCTCCAATGTGGACTTTGAACACTGGGTGGAAAAAAAGGGACACACCAAAACTCTTGCAACCATTTATTTAACGCAATTATAAATAATTAAAAGTTTACTATATCTTGCATATACATTTAGCTTGTGTGTGTAAAAGTTTTCTTTATTTTTTTATTTAATTTAGTATTCGTCGTAGAGTCCTAAGGTAGAAGTAAAATATATGTATACACTATTTATTTTTAAATTTTACTTTCAAATTATACTAAATATATTATTGTTATACACAATTAAAATTCACAACTCTTTACTTAGAGTGAAAGTGATCTAATTTTTAAGATGATCGACAAAATAAATTGGATAACTAATTTTTTTTTAAATCGATCAAATATAAATATTATTCATTAAAATAAATAAATATCAAGATGAATAATTTGAATATTCATACTACCAGTATCCATTTATTTTCTTATTATTTTCACTAGTTTTTTTATTTTGAAAGTCTATGTTTATCTTGATTTATAGCTTGTGTTTTCACTTAATCATTCCTGAAATCATGAATAAAATAAATATTTATATCATTCGTTGGTTAACTCCCCTTGTCCCCTCTCTTTTATTTTTAAAAAAAAATCATTATTGAATATGATTGATTGAATATTATATTATATTGATTTTCATTTATTCTATATATTTTCAATCGATTGATATCCAATTCGTTCGTATATTGATAATAATCGATTGATATCTGATCAGATCATATATTGACAAAAATCGATTGATATCCGATCCAATTCATTCATTTGTCGTGAATATAATAATTCAATATTGGTGTAAAGTGTAAACAATTTATCACGGCAAAAAATGGCTGAACCCATCGGTAGCCCCTTAAAGTTGACACCAACTTTCACTTAGACACCTTAACTAAGTTTTGTTCATTTTAGACACCTCATGTCATGGTCCATTGTGACATTTTCACACTTTTTTAATTATCAGTCAAATATATAAAGTGTTTGTAATACACTCGCCGATGACGTGTCAAAAATGACGAATTAAATAAAAACACGTGGCATATATATAAAAAATAATTCTCAAATAATGACTTTTAGTACAAAAAAGAAGTGACCAATGAGTGAATGACACGTGTAATTTTCGCCCAAAAGACTTTAAACATAAAAAAACCAAACCCCACCCAAATCATCTTCTCCACCCCACCCACCCCGACCCCTGTGTTTTCTCCACTCTTTCCCCACTCACCCAGCGTCTTCTCCACCTCTACCTACCCTAACCCCAACCCCTTCCCCACCCACATCATCTTCTCGAATAGAATAACAAATCCACACATACCACTACTCAAGTCTAATTTGAGATTATTCATGAATTCATGACTTTCCATTTTTCTTCTTCTTTACGATAGCAGGGTCTTCACATTGTTTTCTTTTAATTTTATTATATCATTATATTATAAGTCCATGGGTTCAAAATTCTATTTTTTTGTCTGTAGCATTATCAAATTTATTTCTCCATTAAAGGAGTTTAAGTTTTGGGAGATGATGGCTGAAAAATGAGGAAGAAGATGAAAAAAATAAAAATAAAAACGATTAAATAAGCTTTTCACGCGCTGGTAATGACTGTATTACACTCTCTATGACATGTCAGCAAAAAGTGTGAAAATGACATAGCGGGATACGACATAAGGTGTTTAAAATAAACAAAGTTGAGTTGAGGTATCTTAAGTGAAAATTGGTGTCAACTTAATGGGGCCACCAATGGGTTCCCTGCAAAAAAATTCAAAAAGTAAAAAAGTTGTTACTATGTTTAGAAAAAGGGCTAACCCATCGGTGACCCTTTAAAGTTGGCACGAAGTTTCACTTAGGCACCTCAAGTGGGCGATGTTCAATTTAGACACATCATGTAGGGTCTCGCTGTGTCATTTTGACACTCTTTTGCCAATCAACAAAAATATATGAGGTGTGTGTTACACTCGCGAATGATGTGTAAAGTGGCGAATTAAATGATCATATTTGTCAAAAACAATTTGTAGATAATGAATTTTGAGCAAAAATATAAAGTAACCAATGACTCAATGACACGTGGATTTTTCCCCAAATAACTTTTTAAAAACAAATTAAAAGAATAAAATCCCCACATGACCCCCCACCCCACCCACCACAATTGTCTTCACCAAAATCCCATACCCATTTGCACCCCTCCCCCCGCCTTCTCCAAATACCCCTACTCATTTGCAGAATAATCTGCACATACCCGTTCACCAACCCCATTGTCTTCTCCAAATACCCCATCTCTTTTTTGTTAAAACATCTGGGCACCTACATACTCTTTCTTTTTTATTAGTGTCTTCTTCAAATATTTTTTTTCTTTTTTACCCTAATTAGCAGGTTTATAATTCACCAAAAATTAAACTTACTCCTCTTTAAATATTAAATTCTTTCAAGAAAGAATCTCATAAATAATTTAATATTTAATCTTGAAATGGGTATATTCCTAAATTTCTAAAATAGTTTCCATCATTTTTCATCATTTTACCGTAACTATTTTTATTCACCATGTTGGATATTTAAGTTTGCAAAAAT